AGATGCAAAAGCTTTTTCTTTAATAATAAATTTTGTTTAGTACTGTTCACATATGATGTAGGAGACCTTGCGTTCGGTTCTTCGGTCCAAATCAAGAGTCAACAGAATGTTAATAGCCGAAAAAATAGTCAGAAACTTACCTTCTGACTGGGCCTTGTTCCGTTGGAACCAGATTTCTCATTTTAATTTGCTTAGTGTTATGAACAATAATCATATTTCTCATTTTAAACAAGTGTTGTAGCATTTGTGTTGCATTTGATGATAAGAGTATCAAGTAAAACCCAAGCGAATTTGCACATGAAATTAAAGTTATTATTTCAACCACTTTTGCACCCAAAATGGAAGCAAACTTTGCAAATGGACTGGTTCTAGAATATGGAGAAAATTAATTCAGCCATTCAAAGTCAATATATATCATCAATCATCATCCGTTAATAGAATATGGAGAAAATTAAAGGAACCTTGGATGTGGATTCCAACAACTGTTTTAATTTGTACTGTTTGTTTTATATTAATTTGCAAAGATCAGAGATAAGATAAAATAATTGAATTGAGGCTTTGCTATGTTGCTCCGATGTTTATAAACATGGACCTAGATGGTTGAGCTTGTCACCACCTTCACATATTAGTTCTTGAAATCAACCTCTCATTAAGAAGAAGACGTGGCTTCCAAACTTCCTACATTTTCAATCCTTTGGCTTCCAGTGCTGCTTGACTTGCTTCTTCTCTACCTAACATGTGCCTCTGCAGCACCTCTGAATATGCCGAGGCTCGGTGTCATTCGAGACACGACGGAGGTGTTGAGGGGCAGAGTTGCCCAATCTTCCATTCCTTCAGATTTCAAGACCTATTTCTATACACAGACGCTAGACCACTTCAACTACAGGCCTGAAAGCTACACCACCTTTCAACAGAGATACGCAATCAATTCTAAGTACTGGGGAGGTGGCATGTCCGGCGCTCCAATCTTTGTTTACCTTGGAGAGGAGACCTCTATGGATACCGACCTAAGTGCTATCGGTTTCCTAACTGATCATGCTCCTCAATTCAATGCTCTAATAGTATACATAGAGGTAAGATTAATTATATATTGATGAGAGATCATTCAGTTATTGACAGTTTACTTGTATATTAATTAATGACGACCCTTATATAATTTGCAGCACCGATACTATGGACAATCAGTCCCGTTTGGCGAGGTTGAAAATGCTAGCTCACTTGGGTACTTGAGTTCGTCTCAAGCTCTGGCAGATTATGCTGAAATTATCTTAGAGATAAAGAAAAACTTATCTGCAAATGGTTGTCCTGTGATTGTTATTGGATGCTCTTATGGTGGAAGTAAGTATATATATGTACACGTACTTGACAAATTAATTAACCCATGCATCATAATTGTTATTGGATGCTCTTGATTGTTTCTTTAAATAATACTGTTGTTTGCTTCTCATCACCAGTGCTTGCTTCATGGTTTCGCCTCAAGTATCCACACATAGCCCTTGGCGCACTTGCATCGTCGGCTCCCATTCTTTACTTTGACGATATCACACCCCAAGATGGATATCTTTCTGTGGTTTCCAGGGATTTTAGAGTAATATAATTAAGCAGCAAAGCAAAAAAGAATAAATTATTCAAAAATTGTTTTCATTAATATAATTTCTCCTTCAAGTTCAAACCCGGCCTTAACACAAGATTTAATTTGGGTTGTGTAGGAAACCAGTGAGAGCTGTTATAGTAGTATACTGCAATCGTGGGCTGAAATTGATAAAGTGGCTTCCCAACCCCAAGGTCTTTCGGTACTAAGTAAAAGATTCAACACTTGCGTGTAAGCATATAACTAACTGTGCTATTATATTGCTTAATTCATCTTTAACTAATTAATTTCCTCATTAACTCTTTGTGTCGGCTGCTGTTTCATCTTCATTAATTAATTAGCCCGTTAAACAACTCTGCGGAGCTCAAGAGCTACTTAACATTCAGTATATATGCGGTCGCTGCACAATACGATTATCCTCCAGGCTCCGTTGCTTTGATATGCAGAGGCTTCGATGAAACACCCAAAGGAACCGACGTTCTTGGTAAGATCATTGCGGGTGTGTCTGCGTATAAAGGAAACCTCCGATGCCTTAATGTTCCAAGTGCAATTGGACCCGCTGGAAACGTAAATCTTAATCAAAATACTGCGTGGAGTTGGCAGGTCAATTATTAATTTGCATTGGCAATGTCTTCTGCTTTTTATTAATTTTTTTTTCTAAATACTTTGTTACTTAATTTCATCACTATAATTAATTAGATGGGCATATATATATATATATATACAAGTATTGGTTTGAATGTTGTAATTAATAATTAATACCTTAATTTCTATATGTGATAATTATAGACATGTACTGAGATGGTAATGCCTATTGGCGGAGGTATCAACGCTACCCTGTTCCCTCATGCTCAGCATTTTGATCTAAACGCCGGCATCGAGTACTGCAAGAGCTTCTACGGTGTCAGCCCTAGGCCTCATTGGATCACCACCCATTTTGGTGGCCATGTACACACACTCTCTCTCTCTCAAACTACTACTATACTAATTAAGCCTACGTAGTATCAATGGATTCATTGTACGTGTGCAGGATATTAAACGGGTTCTAAAGAGGTTTGGTAGCAACATCATATTTTCAAATGGATTAAGAGACCCTTACAGTATTGCTGGGTACGTGACCAATTGTATAAACCCCCACAACTACTTGAGTTGTATATACAGCTTCATTTTTCTATATATCATCAACGTATTTGAGTTGAATTGGTTGGGTTCTGTTTTGTACCACAGTGTGTTGGGAAACTTATCAGACAGCCTTGTAGCCCTAACTACTAAAAATGGTATTATCTTTATTCTTTTTTAATTTGTTATTTGAAGCATAAGTACTGTAGGTGGTGATTAATGATTCTTCTCAGTGGATTTTAACTTGTTGCAACAAATTTTTCATATACAAATAAAAAGCTTGGATATGTTATAATTTGTGCAGGAGCCCATTGCTTGGATTTACTTCCTGAATCACGAGAACCAAATGACCCAGACTGGTTAACCGCCCAACGAAGCAGTGAGGCCCGAATCATTGCCCAGTGGATCGCACAGTATAAAGCGGATCAGGCTGCAAATTGTTGATGCCTATCATATCATCCTTATTTACATTCTTTGTCTAAATAATATTATTGTTTGTTTCATCGATTTTACTTTTAGTTTCCCATATTATCCTCTCTAATAACAACTCCGATATTCCAATGTAATAAGGCATGGCATCTTGGGTTTAAATGTGCTACCTGCACCTAGCTATGTTTGAATAGTCGGAAGAAAATGTTGAATGTACCAAGTTGTTCAAGATAATAATAATAATAAACCTATGTTATACATGCAGCAGCTTAAGCTCCTTTTACAATTTTTACAATTTCCCCTCACTATTTTTTTATTTAAATAATACAATAAAGTTCTCTCTCCTTCCATTTAATAATTAATACAAACCTTCTGTTTACCTATAAAAAGAAGAGGGTGAATGTTAGACCTATTTACTAAGGGGGTGTTCCACAAACAGGGCTCAAATCTGCTACCCTCTACCTGTTCCCACATCTCTATCCACGACACATTACAGCTGCACATTAGGAATATTGTCCTTATCATTCATGGGTAGGTGTTCCCAATACACGGCATACGATTGGTGTTCTATAGGTAGGGATGTGGGGGTAACAAATCCATAGTGTCCACACCATGACTGGTTCTGTTTTTTGAAAACAAAAGCAATCACCACATCAGCAAAAACACTAATTTTGCTTGTGTTGCTGTTGTTTTTGTTTTCAAATATAAAACCAACCATGTTGTTGAACACCATTTAAGTCAGTGGGTTAAGGGTGATAGAGATGCATGTGATCTCATTGGACCACCCCACAAGGGCAAGATGCTATAAGCTAGACCAAGTTAGTTTCTAAACCAAACTAGTAGTACTAGTTTTTGAAAAACCGGTAACTAAAACTGAACCAAAATTGATCGTTTAACTGATTGATTGGTTTGGTTAACCACCGGTTCAATTTGTCGGTTTTTAGATTTTCATAAAATATATAATATATAATAAAAAATAGAAATACATATAAAATATTATGTTATAAATAATAAACAATATATTATATTATATATCTATATATTTGTATATATAATGCATATATATTCATTTATAATATATGGATAATATAAAATATATATAATATATATAAATATATATAGCAGTTGGTTCGGTTAAGCGTCGATTTTTTATATTGGTTAATCAAAATCAAATTGATCGGATTAGTTAACTGGGATTTTTGGTTCAGTTTTGTTGGTTTGGTTTGGTTTTCCAGTTTTTTTATTTTTCTTCACCCCAATTGCATCAGGGGATATGTAAGTCAGGTGCTTGATTTGAAGATATTTTACTATAGTGTCCTTGGCCTTCCAAACAGGGTTTATTCAAATTTTAACTAAATCCCAATCCAAATCCTAGAAAGTCGCACTCCTGTACTGCATACACAATGTGAGATCCAACTCCAGATCTCCTACCCACGAGAACTCTGTTCATGCCTACCCACAATACATTATCCCCCGTAAATTGGGAACATCTCCCCTTGCATGATACTATGCAGAGGATGAGATGTTCTCCATGTGTGACTGCGATAAACATTGACAGAGTTCTCATGGGCAAAAGATCTGGACTCGTGAGATCCTACCTTTCCACATGTTTGAATTTGTGCCTTCTCAAATGGAAGAATGCCAACTAATCGTTTAGACTACATTATTAGTTAAGGAGGATTTTGTCATGTCGGAGGAAGGTTTTGCAAGGAGGATTGATTAGGGTGATTGTCGCAGAGGAGGGGATTGAGGAGCGGGAAAGTTTCCTTCGAAGATGCCTGATGCTTCGCTTCTCAGGTGGTTGCCCAACTAGTGAAGAGATCGAGCGTTGGGTGTCTTTGTTGCGGCAGAATTTGTAGAAGCCGTTGGCGAGAAGACTTAAAATTTGAAACTTAATTAGAAATTTCTGTATTTAGTAGGGCATGCTTAACATAGGTATATTTTGTCTAGGCCTTGTAGAAGCCGTCAGCCCACTTTTTTTTCAACCCAAAGGTTAGGATCTTCATTTGAGCCCACAGTGGTGTGAATTAATGCCCATGTTTGCTGAAGTCTCTTGATCCGAAGTCTCCCATTCTGTCTATTCTCCATCTCAATTGCTATCTATTAATTATTTTATCTTTTGGCGTTGTTATCCCTGGGTTACCATGATGTATTCATTCCTTTACAATTATTAATATCATATACGCTACTCATTGTATTTATTAATTGGAAGATCTTTTCTTGTATAAGCTTTGTTATGGTATCAGAGCCTAATACCATCAATTTTAATTTCAAAGAACTCGATTTTTGGGCTGCCTAGTACGAGTTTCACCAGTTTCATAATGATGAAACTCAACAAATTCAATTACTTGTTGTGATATTCACCGAAGGAATGGGGGATCTATCATATAGATGGCCGAACCTTGTAAGAAGGTTAGGCGAAATTTCAACAATTCTTTTACTCCCTCCCATCCGGGAATCCTATTCCCAATTTAGAAAATTGCATTTTCAAGGTTTATTCTTGTAACTAAATCTGAAACCAAGATTAATGAGGGATAATCCTGATACGAAAGCCATGCAAAAAGCTTCTCCTAACGTAGGTGTTCACGCCCAAAGAGTGTACCAAATCCTCCCTCCATTGAAGATGACACAGTTTAGGATGAGACAGGATCAACAGGTAGTTCTTCACCAAGAACTTGTGATTATTCGGCAAGAATCGAATGGGGTAGTGAGCATAGTTTCAAAATTGTTTATTCTAGCAAGAAACAATATCAAGATCAAATCTTGATTAAATCCAAGAACTGGAGATCGAACATGGTAAGGTGGCAAAAGTAAGAAGAAAAAGAACTGAAGGCAAGATCAATCTAATTGAGTTGTCTTCTCTCTGTGTTGTGTCTAGTGTCTTTTTCATGTCCGCCCTGCTTTCTATTTATAACTTCAAAGAGACAACATCCTAATATGATTATGAATCTTCTGATCCAAATCTTTATTTGGATCTGAACTCTTTAAGTGATAAGGATAATCCCTTATCTTATCAGCAATTAAAGATCAACTTATTTCTAATCGAATTAGGAGTTTCCTGATACAAATCTTTATTTAGATCTAGACTCTTTAAGTGGATAAAATTTATCGTCTTATCCTTATCTGATGATCCAAACCCAGATCTGCTCCTATTTAATTAATTCAATTAACCCAGTTCGAAATGGACTTTTAGGCCTATTAAGCTTTCAGGCCCACTTCCTTTTAATGCTGGCTAGCTTGGTTCTCTTTGTATGGCGTAGGACCCTAACATTGATCTACATATCAGTCGCATAGGTTCAGCTTAACCTCTGTTACAAGGCCTGGCCGAATTCACTGCTGAACACAGTGAACCCCTAAGTCCATTACCATGGGCTCTTAATGGGCCCAACATTTACACTAAATGGTCATTGGGTCCAGCCATTTTATGAGGACCCAAGGACTGTGGGCAGATGCAAGATTCACCCATCAGGTATAACCCTCAATGGTTTTACACTTAACCTCTCAACCCTTAATGATCAAACACTGCCCGACAAGAGAGGACCTCTCCTTCGGCTGCAAGGTACAGTGCTGCACTCTATACTCACATGGATCCCGGGAATTAAAACATTTTAAAACCCTAATATATATAAGTATATCTTTGTATAAATATATTTTGTAAAAACAAATTTCAAATACATTTGAAATCCATTGCCGACAGTTTAGGATTCCATCAGAGAGAGTGCATTTACCCGATCATTCACTTTGTCCGACAAAGCGGCTGATCCTGTCACTATGATCACCCACTCAGATGATTTCTTGGATTGTCCCAACATACCTAGGTTTTGACCCCTTTTAAGGATATCATTGATTGGCATATCAAAGACAACCTAATCCGACACCTAGTGCAGTATCATAATCGAGTCTAGGGGTCAGGTGTAACATTCTAGTTTCGCCTATCTGTCTCTAAAGTCCAAGGCAATACTGAAATTTTGGTCCGGTTCAAGGTTTCAAGAAAACCCACACTGCATATACCTTAGGTCTCATCCTAGCAACTGAGACAACCCACTCCAACCAACTTGGCGGTACATCAATGTCAAACTTGATAGGATAAATCTCCCTAGATTCATCCAATGACTATGAGGATTCTAAACTAACACAAGTCTCATATGTGTCAAGTTTAAATGTATTACACAGAAACACATCACAATAACATGAATCAAATATGTATTTTACTCATTTACAATAAATGTAATAATGTACATCATGCTGATTGAAGCTAAGGGCATACACTATCTAACATTCACAAGTCTACAATGCACTCAAGGGGTTAAATCTATTAGGCTTTGTAGATGGAACTAACATATGCCCTCCTAAGCATATTACAAGGTTGATTGATGAAAAGAGGCTGTATTGGGACAAGTTGTTGGCTCCACCACATCAATTGCACTTTGGAGAGCACTACAACGATTCTATGCATCGAAATCACATATGAGAGTAATGCAGCTACGCTTTGAACTTCAAAATCTTAGAAAATGTACACTCAACATGTTTGATTATCTTCAAAAAGAAAATTTACTTATTGATAAAAGGTCAAAGTATTTGTAGGGAGGGTCTTTTTAAGACCGCTGCCTCAATTGAATTCAAAAAATAGCGCGGCGGTCTAAGAGAATAGACACAACGGTTTTAAAAATAAACTGGATTTGAACCGGTATAATCTACAATGAATTGGTCTTCGTAGCTAGGGGTGAGCAAACAGTTTATTCTGTTTAAAACCAAACTGAAAAAACCGAATTTTTAAAAATCGAATTATGAAATGTGGTAACTGAATCAAAACCGAATTTAGGTTAAACCGAACAAACCAAACCGAATTTATTTTTCGGTTAATTCGGTTTTTTCGATTAAAACTGAAAATTACAAAATCCGACAGAAGGTTGCAAAACGAGAAGAAGAAAAAGAAAAAAAATAAACAATAATAAATATTACATAACCGAGAGTAAGAGACTTCGACAACCGACTTGCTGCTCGCCGTCGCCGTTGCTGGAGTATGAGACTATGAGGTTGTTGCTTCGGAGTTCGAGAAGAGAGAACTGGGAAAGTGGTAAGATAGTCAGAAGCCAGACCAAACACAGACAGAACACAACACAGACTTGGAGAGGAAGACTCTTAGCACAACATAGAACTGGGAAAGTGGGAAGACAGTCGACTCACTGCTCACTGTCGCCGTCGTTGTAGTATGAAGTTGTTGCTTCAGAAAGAGGAAACTGAGGAGTGGGAAGACAATCAGATGCCAGTCGCCTGTCGCCAGACACAGAGATTTGGAGAGGAAGACTTACGCTCATCGAAAAACATTTTCTCACCCCTAATTTTAATGGTTTTCCATTGCTCTTCTGGGAACCTCCTTCGGGAGTAAACGCAGAAACCTTTTTCGGGTATGCAATTGTTGCTTTCGCCTTTCAGTGCTCGTAACTAGTGAGAGAGAAGATAAAATAAAGGGACAAAGAATCCAGCAGGATGCTGAGTGTACTAATGGCTTTTCTCTTTGATGGGACCGAATTTTTTGTAGAGCAACTATACAGGTGCATCATGCCATCATCGTTCATCCCCTATTGAAACTTGAAATATCAATTAAAGATGTATTGACGGAAAGGACCCTTAGGGTAGCTCACTTCAGTTCCCCACCCAATTTCTTTAGTCACACGCCTTCAATGCCTCTCAAGTCTCAATGGTTTTGGCGGGCCTAAACAAAAAAGTTTTAGTATAATTACTAATATATCCATATAATATCGGTTATTTCGATTAACTGAAATGCAAAATACTCCAACCGAATATTAAAGAACTGAAATTAAAAAACGAAACCGAACTGAATATCCGAACAAACCGAACCGAATGCACCGAAACCGAAATTTCGGTTCGGTTTAAACCGAACTATGCTCACCCCAATTCGTAGCCTAATGAAAAACCCTTCGAAAACTAGAGCATCATTCTTCCTGCTTCTCTCCGATCAATATCTGTTTGCGGCCATGGCGAACCCCGGCGAGGAGAGTTTTGCCTTAACCTAGGCCCTCCTTCCTCTTAATGTGCGCACCTATTCAGGTCAGCAAATCCTCTGCTTCTGCTCTGTTGCCCTAAATTTGTTCCAGTGGAATTTCCAGTAGAAAAACCTTCTCCATCGACGCACTTTTATGGTTTCTCACTCCGCTTCTCATTGCTCTGAGGGCAATGAGCCCAAGGCTGCGGAGAAAGAGGACCTACAGTACCCTTTTCTCTGGGAAAGACTGGTAATGGATTGTTACTGGGAGAATCAGAAAATCCTATAGTTACTTCTGGAGACTCTCTTCTGGTTAACCAGCGGGAATCTAGTGAATCACATTGGAAGGAGCGGTTCCTCCCCTACAAACATTCTTGAGGAATTGTGACCATTCGTGTCAGGAGGAGTACATCCAGAGTAAGTGTTCTTTGAATTTATGTAAACCACTTAAGATTTTATCGTTTTTCTCTCACAAGTTTTTTAATTCTTGTCTTAACTAATCTCTCTGTTTCTGTTACTTATTAGTGCTACGGTCATTACCCCCTGTTGGCCGTAGCAGACATGCAGTTGAACTGGAGAAAAGTGCAACCCATCTGTCACTAGAGGAAGGTATAGACTCTGCACTTCTTAATGTTCTTCCTAATAAATTATCAAAAATCTAGTAGCGCAAACAATGTAAGTGTGCTCAGGAAGAGCAAGTGATTCAGAAGTTGTTGAAATATAATGGGGTGGATTTGGAATAATAATTGATTGATATTCATTTAGTGTCTATTTGGAACATTCTGAGCATTTGAGTTGAGTTTCTACCAGAAAGATGTTGGGACTACTATATTTATATCTGGCTAATATGTTTATTTTTGTCATTGTTTTAAATGATGAAAATGTTATTGCAAAGTTTCAGAACAAAAATTACCAAAGAAGTGTCAAAACGTAGGTATGGACTGTGGAGTATTTGTACCTAAGGCTCTGTTTGGGAAGAATGCAAATACAAATATGTTAAGTGCAAATACATGAACCTTGCGTGTTTGTATTTGCACTTGTCCCAAATGGAGCTTAAGGCTCAGTTTGGAAGGAGCACAAATACAAATATGTACAGTGCAAATACATACAAAATACAAGGTTTTGTACTCTACATATTTGTATTGGTACTCCTTCCACACTGAGCCTAAAGTTCTAAAATTAGGGTAATTACATATGAGAGTATTGCAAATGAATGATTGCTTTTATTCTGTCTATATTTGCTGGAGGAGCACATGTTTTTGAGGGTATATTGCATGTCATCATCAAAAAGAGCAGCGTCCACATCAACGTTATCAAGCATTGGTTTTGACAATTCTTGTGGTTCTTCTCTGGTTAGTAGTATCAGATGCTAATTAACCAATAGAAAAAAGAGTACCAGATGCCAATTTCTAGATGGTTTGTATTCACAAGTACATATGCTACATCCACACCTCAAAACTCTAAAATATGTCCACATATATTTAGGAATCGAGACCTACTTTTTTTGGGTTGCTTTTAGGAGATTTTGTAAGGTTGCATTTCTGCATCTTGTCTCAACCCAATTTTGATTATTTTCCATAAATACACCACCCAGCATATTTATTGTTAAATTAGATATATTGGCAATTTGTTGCTCATAAATTTGTATTTCTTCAGTTCTATTACAGACATAAATGGTAGAAAATTAACACCTAGAAGAACCCAATATGTTTTAATTTCTTCATTTGTTTTTCCTCTTAAGTAGGGAAGGAGGTACATTGGATGACAGTTCTGAATGTCTTGGGCAAGTCTGTGACAAAGAGTAATGCATTGTTGTCACCTCAACAACCCAACTAGTGAAAGGATAAGAGAATAAAAATTCTTAACATATACTGCTTCATCCATGGCCATGAAGGCATTCCCAATTATCTGCAGGTAGAAATTCAAACTAAATTAGTGCTAAAAGCTTTTGAAACTGTATTATATCCTTCCATGAGTTTTAGTAAAGAATCATTTGAGAAACCTGGAGGCTCTGAACTCCTTAACTGTGATTTCTTTCAGATTCCAATATGTGGTTATTGGTTTGTGTCACGGTCTTCTATTATGAGCTGAAATTCTTAGTGCTGGATGTTAGTCACTTGCATAAGTGATCAAATTTGACTACCTGCTTCATTTAACTTGATAGCCAGATTTGGATCAGACTGTTTGGATAGGGAAGGTAATTTGCACTTAGCTCAGGTTACTGGGAGGTGGAGTTGACCTTCACACATATATGTGCGTGTTTTTTGTTTTCTCTACCTTCAAAGCTTCCAAAATCAAATTATTCATTAGTACCTCTTCCACCCCACTTATCCAAAAAATGGCCCAAGCAATAAACTCTTGAAAGTCAGCATACCCAATTTACTTTGAATTCTCTGATCCCCCGATCTTTGTTTTCTCACTACAAGAAAAATGACTTTTAGCGGCAGTCAGGTCATCAAAACTGCCGCTAAAAGAACTGTTGCTAGACATTCTAGCGGCAGTTTTCGTGGCTGCCGGTATAAATACTAAGCTGCCGCTAAAAGTTGTTTTTAGCGGCAGTCGTGACTGCCGCTAAAGGTTGTTTTAGCGGCAGCCGTGACTGCCGCTAAAAACCAAGTTTGGCTGCCGCTATAAATTTGCAGCGTGCTTTTTAGTGGCAGTGAAACTTCTCTTCAAATTACCTGTTTTCTATATATGATTCATTTGCGGCGTGGTTTTTTTTCCAAATAACCTATTTTATATTTAATTTTCTTCAAATTACCTGTTTTCTATATATATTCATTTAAACCGAAATAAAATATAAAAGATGAAAAAACATCAATTACAATAAAATTAAAAAAACCATTTTCCATTCAAACTATTTGAATCACAAATACATCTTAATTTCAATTTGATAATTTCTTGGTTTGTACAAGAATTCAGTAGGGTCTGAACCAAAGAGTTTGTGACTGCTACACATTCCACTCTTTTGCTTTTGGCAGCCCGGATTTGATCTGCAAGTGAAACTTTTCTTCGCATTTTCTCTCTTCTTATAAACTCAAGATCCATATATTCTTATGAGGGATAGAAAGTCTAATGTACTCCTGGCTGCCTAATGCCATCTTCCTGAATTTCTTCATGTCTTCATTGTACTGCATTGTGTCATAGTCTGAGCTCCCATAGGAACTGTAGACTTCTATGCCCAGGTCTGATGCCTTTGTTCAGATCGGCCAGAGAGACTTCTCCTTTCAATGCCCGAACAATCTGCTTAGTTTAAAACCATTGTAATTGGTTAGAATTAGAGAAGGGGAGTATGGCATTAAAGCTGAGAGTTGTTCTTTGAAGAGAAAGTCCAAAACCTTGGGAAACAGGGCTTTTGTGAATGAGAATAATATGTATGCTGCAATCAAGAGGGCCTCCCATCCAATGAATGATGTTTCGACCAAGTCATCCCTGCCAGGAATCCCATCTATAAAGCAGTCAAAGCCTGACCAACAGAAAAATATAGTGAATCAGAAAGGAAAAATAAATAAATAAACATTGAGATGTTATATGCCTTTGGTGGTACATGTATTCAGATTTTTTGAGTAATGAAGTTAATAGTTCCACTCACTACAGGTTACACACTGAATAGTGCTAATTCTTTCCCATTACAGGGGATCAATACAGGTGGTTGGAGGGAGACTTAGCTAATGTTAATAGATCGGTAACTCCATGGCTTGTAGCTACTTGGCACCAACCTTGGTATAACTCATACCAAGCTCATTACAGAGAAGTAGAGTGTATGAGGGTGGAGATGGAAGAATTACTATATTCTTATGGTGTTGACATAGTATAACGCTCTTTTATTTCTGTACTTAGATTCTTCTTAATCATAACCAATGAGCCTAGAAATGTTTGAGGCTTTATCCTCAATGCAAGGTGCAGGGAAAGCACATTGAACTCCCACTGGGAAGGATAACATTCTTACGAGGCATGCCTAAGGCCTACTACTCACCTGATATGTACACTTTTTTGAACTTCCAAGTTAAGCCACAAGGATCTTGAAAATGCTGATAAACCTAATGGAAAAATACAAAAAAAAAACCTGAATGAGATGAAAAATCATTGATATCTTGTTCTTTTTACTCAATTCTTAACTCCAACCTAGCCCAATAAAACACAATAAGGACAATATGAGCACACACGTGAAGACAAACTTGCTATTAAAGCATGCTTGTTAGACATTTCTTATTAGTGTACTACTGAGGCTTTAGGTTAGTGGAAGGACTTAGATATACCTTAATGTTTCTCTACCTACTGTAAACAATCTTGTAACCTGCAGAAGAGTAAGTTCCACAAATTTATAGGTAGTAAGTGTACTCAGATGAATCATTTTGTAGTGTTGATTTCTGGTGTAGTAGCTGTTGTAGATGCTATAAAGGGATGGCTCCCCTGCTTGCAAGCCAGATCTAAAGATATGCTGTTTATAATCATATTTATGGTCCAGTATTATAGTGAATATAGTAATGCCATACTATCAGTATTTCTGTAAATTGATAATGCATTAACATACACGAGTTGTTTTACACTTTTACTAATTTGGATGGAATATGCAGGTTCATGCATATGAGAGGTCAAATCGAGTTTATAATTACTTGTTGGATCCTTGTGGTCCTGTTCATATCACGATTGGAGATGGGGGAAATCGAGAGAAAATGGCAATCAAACATGCTGATGCACCTAGTGACTGCCCTGCAGATTAATTGAGTACGCCAGATGAATATATGGGTAGCTTCTGTGCTACTAATTTTATGTCAGGTTCAGCAGCAGGAAAATTCTGCTGGGACTGACAACCTGATTTCAGTGCATACAGGGAAAGCAGCTTTGGCCATGGGATCCTTGAGGTACCAAAGCAGCTTTGGGCATGGGATCCTTGAGGTACCCTCTCTCTCACTATCAGTATACAAACATATGAAGGTTACTGCATGCTATATTTAGACCAGAAAATAATAAATGGTGGTTCTGAAACAACCAAATTCCATGGTGCTTTTACATGTGAAAAGATTGTGCTCCAACGTGATTTAATTGGTACCACCTCTAGGAAGGGCATTGCTCCAAAATCAGACACAATATAATGTTTTAAAGCAGTAAACCGACAGCTATCAGGGGTCTTGGGAGGAGTGGATTGATTATGCACCTAACATTTGGCATTCTTTCACACCATGTGGATGAGACAGCCTTGAATCCATGCTCTTTAGGCTTTTCAGCCAAAGATTTTATCATTACGCCAACATAACAACAATTAGAAAAAATGGCCAGCATAAGCAGAAAATATTGCACTAGTAATATGAGCACAAATCCAGTGAAGAAATCAGTGAATAAGTCTGGAAGGAGCATGGAGTTGTAAAAACCTTTCCAACTAGAAAATCGGACAAGATTCCATTGCCACCAAGTAACTCTCTTCCAAGAGAAACAGTCCCCCTTGCTCTCAACATAATCCATGCCTAAATATTCAAAAACAAGCCATTGCTTGGTATTGCAATCAGTAATACCTCCAAATACATTGCCTTGGGGTAACAACTTTACCTTTCCTAAACTGGCATGGCTGGGTGTCATCTTTCCCTTCTCATACAACTTGCACAGGCGCCAGCCAATCTGTAATGATGAAGGAAGATTTGGCCCGACCTCGTGATCACTCAACACGTGGCAAAGGCAACAACTCGGCACAACAGCGCCCCAAGGCGCTGTTCCGAAAGGAGGAACCAGTAGTCCGAACTCCCTGCAAGGATCCCGATCTCCCCGCAAGGAGCCCGAGCTCTCCCTTAGGCCCCGAGCCTTACAAACACAAAGGGCAACAACTTGAATTGGCCTGCCCCATGGCAGTTCGGGACACACCTCTGTCCGAACTCGAGACTTCACCTTGCTCACCACTCCAGCACTTCGCCTCTAGGACGCCAAACTGAACAATCGTACCACGCCTGACACCGAGGAAGTCCGTACCCAGGGGCAGCACACCTGATTGACTTGGGATCTGACGCTTGATAGCCGCACTTCGACAGCCACTTGCCACCGCCATCTCCAGTTGCAGAGACAGCTCCGACAAAGAGAGCAGCGGCGGTTCTGTCCCAGCAGAAGTGATGACACCCGAACTGGCAGGAGCTTAGGAATGAGTGCGCGAGGTGGTTATAAAAGGCCCCCTACCCCCCAAGAACAAGGTATGTGAACTTTGCGCCATCTGGTTTTATCTTGCCTTCGAAAGAATACTAACTTGAGCTTCGGAGCAATCTCGCCGGGTTCCTCCCCGAAGACTCCTCATCTTCTCCGTTTCAGGCTCCCTGTAGCCCCAGTCAGAGGCAAGGTCGTTGACAGCTAAGACCAGCCGGATTGCGCACCATCAAGTAACATTGCTTGAACATTACCCAACATGCGAACAAGTTTCTCTTGGTTAAGTTGGAATGCTGCCAATGGAACTCCAAATTGTTTCGTTTCTTTCAAATACCTAATTTTCAGTCTCTTACATGTTAGCAAGACATCTTTGAAACAAAGCATCAAAATATAGCAAGGAACTGCTAGAAAATCATAACATGTAGTACCTGTGGCATCCATCATAGACCCCCATTGAAATGCCAATTGGTTGCCAGGCAACCATAACCCTTGAAACAGCAAGAACCTGTTTTCACTTTCTGGTGGTTAGGAGGAACTAAATTCAGGGGAAATTTAGGAATAAAAAGAACAATATATAATAATGTTAGACATGCAGTGAAAATAATATTCAAAGTGATAGGCAAATCACTTATTCACCTGGACCTCAACCCACAGCTGGATAAAAAAACTGCTTTAACTCTATCACAATTGGAATAAGATTCAGGTACTGAAACTCTTTAGTTGGCTTGATTTTATCATCATTAGAAAGTTTATTTCATTTTCTATCTAGCAAGCCCTAGATTTGCTAATTCACGGTTTCAGCCTTATATTAAGTTATGGCCAATTTACAGCCAACCAACAAGGTATGGCATGAATTACTATATTGGGGATATTTGAATTGCTTTAACATCCTATTAGTTTCAGGACTTTTCGTGTGTCTTTAGTTAAACCATATAATTACAGAAAAACTATGACCATAATCACTACTTCTTTTGAGATCCTTATTGCCTGTAAATTTTATTGCATTGAAATTTCAGAAAATCTTAGGGGATCCTGTCTCAATTTCTCCATGAATCAGATTTATAGAACTTACAAGGAAAAAGAAAGGAGATGATTTTTAGTGTATATTTCTTTTTGATAAAAACTGAAACTCCACCAATCCATAAAAGCAAAACTCCACCATACTCATTCTTAACACCCCCAAGACATCATATTCATACTCCACATCCAGACCCCCTGTAATTATTGTCAAAGTCCCCCTCAACTCTTTCAACCAAATATTACCCACTTCCAAAGACAAAAATAGCACTTAAAGCATGCCAACAGAATCCACTGCCCTCATCTCTTTTTTCTTTATTTTTTTCTTTTTGTTGACAATAGAAATTCATTAAGATAGATAAAACCAGTACATAACTAGAACAGATTAAATATATTCATCTGATGGCCTTTATTCAACTGGGACCAGCATTGGGTAATGGCCTTTATTCAACTGATGAAACTGTGGATGAACAGATTAATATATATTCATCTGAATATTCTACAGCCATGTAAATAATGAGATAAAAATGCAGAAAATTATGAAACAGGAAAAAGGTTTCAATTATATGGCCCTACATGGAACAAAATAGGTAGCAGGATTTATGTGGACAAAATAGAGAATTGAAACCAATTCTTTC